TCATCCACTGCTCCTCTCAGCAGTGTATTTCAGTAGATTTGCCTGTTCTGCTCCCATTCTGACTGTGGTGAATCCTCTCACATACCTCACCCTACCCCTAACCTATACCCCAGTTCTTGTATGCATAAATACATAAAATCTTTTTTTTTAAAAAAGATTATTGCAATGGGAGAGAGAAAGAGAGTGCTCAATTCTGAATTCAAGGGGGATAATTGGGGATTTATAGCCAAGAAGCTGGGTTAAGGGATTGTTGGATGATTACTGAGAGAACAGCAAGAGAGGGAGGTCTTACTAAATTGACTAAGTAGAATTCTTGTTGAAAGCAAGCCAGGATTATCAGATAGCAAGGGTGGGGAATTCTCTCTAAATCGACAGTAGTCTATTAAAACTAGGCTCAGCCAGAATGGACAAGGAAGACCAAGGTGGAGGCCAAGTTGAGAAGAGGGCTCCTAGGAGCCTGACTAAAGATGGAGGAAGGAGAATCTTTGTTATTGGTAAAGGCCAGCTTCTCGCCCGCCATGCTCTTTATAGTATTTCCAGCTCCTAATGCGCCTGCTGGAAGCTCAGTGTATCTTAAAGATGAATAGTGATGGGTCTTCATGAAAGATGTTTTGGTGTGTGGGAACCTTCCTCTGATGTCTCCACTCACTCTTGGCATGCACTCCCCCAGAGCTGCAGAGCTTGGCCCTGACTGTGGGGCATGCCTAGGAATTGGAGGAGTTACTTGCTTTCAAAGGACGGAGGATATTGGAACCAAAAGAGGGAGCGGTTACAAGAGTTAGGTGGGAGATTGAAGGTCAAGAGTCTGAAAGGTTGTCTGGAGGGTGACCATGCTGAGCCATAAATTGCCCCTGAAGTGTCACATTTGAGAACCTAGGATGCTAGAGCGAGGATGAGTCCGATGGAATGGAGAGATGGAAGGTTCTGGGGACAGTCACTTAGGACAGGTCTGTGGGTCCTGACTTACTTGACATGGTGAGCCCCCCATGGGGGGATGAGATGGATGAGTTAGGGGCCTTTGGCCAGACTGGGGCCAGGGAGGTTCTAGAATACTGCAGGCTGCCAACCCTCCTATCCTTTCCCCACTGCTTGAGTGGCTGCCTCCTTGTGACAAGGGTGCAGTGTCCAGACCCCCTCACGTCTCTCTCCTCTCCAGATTACAGCCGGCCGGGTGGAGCCGGGCTGGGCCCGGGCGTCTCTGCCAAGTGTCAGTGGGAGCAGCTGGTTGGCTCGCCTGGTCTCCTGCTCTGTTGGCTGCCATCCCAGCTGTGCATGACTCTGGGCGTCTTTGTTTCCTGTTAACTAGACTGAGACCAGGGAATGTCAGAACCAGCTATGTCTGCAGATTCTGGCACAACCGCAAATAAGCTGTGTCCTGTGCCCGCCGGTTAGTGCTCGTCTCTCAGGTCCAGAGACTGAGTCAGGGGAGCTGAGGCCCCATTGCTGGTTCACATGCTGGCATCCACCTCCTTTCCAGCAGCCCAAGCTCAATCTCCTACTTGTGATGGGGGGACCTGCTGCGCCTTCGCACCATGTCCTCAGAGTGGCTCTGCCTTTGGCTTCTCCCTCTACTCTCCCCTTAGGGTGGCCGGGTTCCACAGCATCAGGCTGGCAGGGGGGTAGGGGGGGAGGGGCGTGGGGACTGTGCAGAAGATCATGGAGGGGAGCAGAGTGGAGACACCAGAGGTGGGACCCAGACACCCGCACGGTGGTCACTACAGTGATAGAGGTGACAATGCTGACCACTGCTAGGCTTTGTGCCCAGTGCTTTGGTTTGTCCCCAACAATATGATTTAGGAACCTGTACTGTCCCCTATTTATACTTGAGAATTCTGAAGCTTGGAGAGGTTAAAGACTTGCCAGCAGTCACACAAATAGCGATAAGGTAGAATTTGGATTTAAACTGAGATGTTCTGATTCACATGCTCAACTATCATGCATGTCCCACCTCTTCGGTAATAGGAGTTTCCTCCTCCTCATCCTCCATAGTCATGATTTCTCTCTAGCTCTGTAGTCTGTATCATCTCATTTCACATTCATAGCTACACCAGTTGAGGTAGGGATGATGTTGCTCCCTTTTTAGAGACGAGAAAACCATAGTCGGAGAAGTGATGTGACCAGTAAATTGGTGGGGCCACGATGGTCTCACTTGAAACTGTCCCAGGTGCCAGACACTTCCCTCTAATGAGGCAGCACCTACTACAATGTGGGGAGCAGTGGGGGGCTATGGAGAGAATCCACTGTGTGGGGTTGCAGAGCTGGTGGGGGCTCACCTTGTGATGGTATGAAAAGGGCGGTGGGGACTGGTGTTGGTGGGGATGCAGATATGAGGACTTAGGGTGAGGTAATGTAGGGAATTGGATCTGTGGACTGTGAGGCAGTTCTGGGAGTACTGGGGGAGAGTCGAGGGGGAGGGTGTGGCTGACCAGGGACTGGAGCTCATTTCTCCCCTGGCCCATGGTCCTCCTCCAGCAGAGTCCAAGGGGCTCTTGAACCTCAAGACTTGGCTTTGAAACTGGCCCATCTCTCTGTTTTTGTGGAGCCCCTTGGGCGGCCCACATCAGGGATTCTGCAGTCCAGATGAGGGCTTCTACTGCTATTGTGACAGGATAAACTCTCCTGCTTTTGCTGGGAGAGGGAGGCTGAGGACAAGGCTTTTTCTTCTCTGGTCCTTGAGCTCATCATCCTATGTGGAAAAGACTCTACCACACACCTTTCCCAGGTTACTTGAAGACAGCTTGCTTCCTAAGATGAGCTTATTGATAGATCCCAAGATTCATGAAGGTTTCCCGCCTGAGAAAGGGAGCCACTGCCTTTCGCCATCAGGGTTCTCTAGCCGAGCCCCAGTGGCCTCAGTCCAGCACTGCCCAGAAGCAGCCTCTGGCTTGGGGGATGTATGATGGTTAATTTTTTAAATTATTTTTTAAAGATTTATTTATTTATCCAGAACTGGGGTACAGGCCAGAGGTGCAGGGGCGGTGAGAGGATTCACCAGAAACAGAGTGGGGAATAGAACACTGCTGAGGGGAGCAGTGGGCGAGACAGGAGAGGTCTGCCACACCATGTGGGTCACCTCCGGGGCGGGGATCAAACTCACACTGAAGCATCTGTGGCTCACTTGCAGTGCTGTGCTTTTACCTGCTGTGCCACCAGGGAGGGCCATGTGATGGTTAATTTGTGTGTCAGCTGGCCTGTGACATTGTTCCTGAGCCTAGTGGTAGCAGGAAAAGGGCTCAGACTGCCCCCCAAGTCCCTGGCTGGGCCAGTAGCCCAACTCCCTATCCCCCTACCTGGATCATTGCTTCCATATGCTTCTCTCCACCCACTTCCTATCCAGGGAGGCACAAGTCTCTTCTTTATCTCCTCTGGTGCAGTCTGTGCTGGTGTCTGAGATGCAAGGGGTGTTCATTCTCACACCCCACCATGGAACTTTCTGGGTGTGGCACCCTGTGGATGTTAGATGTTCCTCTATGGAGTGAGGCAAGAAACCTTTTCTATCGCCATCTTGGTGATATCATCGCTTGCCCTAAAGCTTTGAAGGAAATTGAATTTGTAGTTTAAAACTTCCCATAAAGGGGCCCTTCCTGGTGGCGCCGCGGGTTAAAGCACTGCACTAAGATGCTGAAGCCACTTATGCATGAGTTCGAGCCCCGCCTGCCCTGGAGGTGACCACATGGTGTGGCAGACCTCTCCTGACCCGCCCGCTGCTCCCCTCAGCAGTGTACTTTCGTTGATCTGCCTGTTCTGCTCCCCACTCTGTCTCTGGTGAAGCCTCTCGCCGCCCCTATGCCTCTGGCCTGTACCCCAGTTCTGGATGCACAAATAAATAAATCTTAAAAAAAAAAAAAAAAAAAAAACTTCCCATAAAGGAAACTCTAGGGTTTAGAAAAACCGATAGGTGAAAATCTTGTGCCCAGGTGAAAATCTTGTGCCCTCAGGAATTCTTAGATCCAAAAGGATTCTTAGGTCCAACACCAAATATGCAATTAATGAAAGAAAAGCTGATAAGCTGGGTAAACTGATGTGTCAGAATGAAAGAGAAAACATTTTCTTGGAGAAACATGCAGTTAAACATGAAAAGCCAAGCTACAGAGTAGAAGAAAATATTTGCAAAGTACATTATCTGACAAAGATGTACCGAGATATATAAAGAAATCTCAAAAGTCATCAGTAACAAAACAAACAAGCTAAATTAACAACAACAAAAAGATGGGCAAATGATTTGAACATGCGCTTCCCCAAAGAAGATATACAGATGGCAATTAAGTCTGTGAAAAGATACTCAGCATCATTAGTTACTGGAGAAATGTAAACTAAGGCGACAATGAGAAGCCACCACACATCTTCGGAATGTCTAGAATTCAAAATATTCAACGAGAGAAGTTTGGAGAGGATGGAGAGTGGCTGGCACGCTCAGCCCTCGCCGAGGGGATGCAGAATGGTACTGTCCGTTTGGAAAAACAGTTTCTTGGTTTACAAAGTCCAACCCACACTGACTGCACGAACAAGCAAGCCGTCCTTCTCCTGCTTACCCAAGAGAATTGAAGACTTAAATTTAGACAAAAATCATTATGCAGATGTTGATGGAAGTTTTATTCGTAATTGTCAGAATGCAAACAACAATCCAGATATTCTTTATCCCTTCCTGGAAGGAGAGAGGCTGAAGGGATGCTTTGAAGTCATAAACTTTCATGCCTCTATGCAAACCCAACCTGCCCTCGCCATCATAGGGTTTTTCTGTCTTTGCAAATCACAAGGTGCTTAAACAACCATATCTGGGGCATTTGCAAAGCATAAACGGAGAGTGGCCAGAGGCACAGGCTTATCCTCTTCCAGGTGCCCACTACTGACTTTGGCAGCAGCCAGGGCCTGGCCAGTCCTGTGTCCTCCATCCCCTCCCCATCTCCCGTGATTTGGCAGCAAATCTGTAGGGAGTGCTTGTCATGGAGTGTTGACTCTCCTTTGCACTAACATTTTGATTCTGTGTTTTCTGTTTTCAGATAATTGCCTTTGACGAACTAAGGACGGACTTTAAGAGCCCCATAGACCAGTGCAACCCTGTTCATGCGGTGAGTTGAAGGTGCTGGGGGTGGCAGGGCATCCAGGCCTGTCCGCAAACCCGGTTCCGCTGTGTGGGATGAGTAGAGTATACTTGACCCTGACTGTACCCCTGCCTAACTCAAGTTTGTTGAGAAGACGTCTCCTCTCATCTGCTGAGGTCTAGATTGACCTTGTAAGTCATATGATAGTCCCATTAATCCACCTGTTAAGTCCTGGCTTTTAAGTCCTTATTTTAGTGCTTTTTTTTTGTTGTTTATTTTTTTTGTGACCTATTTTGAACAAGGAGAGAGGCTCCACGGTGGTGAATGAGTTGGCAGGAGCATCGTTAGGGATCGTCCCCATTCTGGGCTTTGCTCTGAGGGAGATTTGCAGGGTCCTTTATGTACAGATCTAGGCCTGGCCCGATCCTCCTCCCGGAAGCAGCTGTGTGTCTGAGGTCAGTTTCCTTGCCACTGTGGACCCTGGTAGTCCGCTGATTTTGGTCTTGCTGCCCAGGTGGGAGAAACCCTGCCCCAGCACATGCTGCTGCGAGCCTGGCGCTCCCTTTGGTTGTCAGACAGTGAGAGCTGTCCCCACCTGACCTGGAGTGGCTGCGGGAGAGGCCTGGGAGAGGAGAAGCCATCACTTCTGTTGAGTATGTGTGTAGGGGGTGTTCCCTGTCCCAGTCCAGGAGCCAGTTGTGTGTAGACAGTGTGTTGGGAGTGACCAACTGCGGAGATTTACTGAGGGACTGCATAAGGGCAGTAATAAGTCAGGCCTTGCATCCAAAGGTGATAAGGCGGGAACAAGCTGGGCCTCGCATCCAATTAGCGGGGACCTTGCATCCGGGATGGGACTAGCTGAAGGTGATAACAAACTGGGCCCCACATCCAGGTTTGATAACGAACTGGGCCTTACATCAAAGGACACAGCCATGAGTCACCCCTTTGGAATGTGAACTTAGAATCTATATAAGAGACCCTCCCCCCCATAGGGTTGGCAGTAGCTGTGGACCCCACTCTAGGGGCTCCGTCTCAGCTGCTGTCCGGGAGCAATAAACTCTGCTTGCTCAGCTTTTCTGCCTCCCGCCTTCCTTTCTTGCGGCCAGTCACAGAAGTTGGGACAAAACACAGTGCTTTTCCCACACTTACTTCAGGCAAGTTCTGCTGTGTTCACAGGACAACACGTAGCATGCCTTCCAGTTCTCTCTCCTTCACCATGGGTCCTGTGTCTGCTTGAAGTACCATCCAGGCTGTGGATTTCAGTGCTAAGACAAGTTGTTATTTGAATAGTTCTGTTGATACTTCCATTCAGAAGTTGTAGAGAGAATGTCAAGCCTTACCAGCATGATGCCATGTTGACCTGGCAGGCTTAGCCATCGTTCTTCAGTGTCAGGGACAGAGGTCTGTTCTTCACTGCCAGCCCGCTGAAGGCTATGCCCATAGGCGGTTCCAGAAGACCATGTGGTGGGACCAGGCTTCAGCACCCCCTTCTGTAGAGGATTATTATTGGAGTTGAATTTTTTTTTTTTTCAAATTTTTATTACATGCCAGGAACTTTATATATCTATCTGTAATTCTCACAACACCTCTGCCAGACAGGCATGGTTTACCCAATTTAGAGGCTGGGATCCAAGGACTCATGAGTGGTGAGGTGAGGATTGGAAGCCAGCTCTGCCTGTCACCAAAGCCCGTGTTCTCGCCACCTACTCTGTGTTGTCTCTAAGAGACTTGATTTTGTAATGCCTGATTTTATCATCCTTTTGGCATCACACTCAGATTCTATGAAACAGAGCCAAACCCTTTCAACGTCAGCTGTGTAAAGTGTAGAAGTTGAATCTCTAAGATTCACTCAAATACTAACTGTATTTTGTGAAACTTATTAAAATCCATGTTGTTTCCATCTGTCAGCCTCACCACCCACCTGTGATAACTTGACTCTTCTGGGCCTGAGAAGGTTTCACCCAGGGTCTCATATCTTTCTGGATGTTTTTATCTTTGGTGCCAACATCACACACCTGGTTAGTCAATGTCTTCCAGGTGCACTGTGCTGCCCTAGTCCAGGAGAACACTTCTATTTCAGGGTGTTGGGGAAGTCCAGAGCTTGTTTCCATTCTTCTTGGTTGATTGGGTTCAAACTAGGAAGTTGCACCCTTAGAATGCTCAGAACCTTCTCAGGGTCCATGACGGTGTCCTGTCACTAAATTCCATCATGCAATCTCAGTACTATTTTACCGCAGATTAGTAAAATCCTGGGACTTTTGTGAACCTGTTTCCCTCTCACCACAGCAAGCTCCTTAGTTCAGATACAACAAAACAGATGAGCACTAATGATATCTACAGGGTGCTTTGGGGAAAGTTAGTGCAAGAACAGGACCCGCACACAGTAGGGACTCAACTACTATTTGTTGAGGAAAGAATGAATGAATATTAAGTGAGGTTGTTTATATAGAAGCTGGGCTTTAACTTTTACTTCTATTATGACTGCACTGCTAATCAGTTAATGAATTAATTAAGAAGCCCAGAAATCTCAGACTGAAGCCCTTAGGGAAAGGAGTCTTGTCTGAGATTTAAGAAAGTCCATAAAAATTCTAAATTAAAGAGTATTAGATTTTCCCAGGTTTTATGATGTTGTTCTCTGGTAGGAAGTTAAATGCTTTGGATGTCCCATTTACTCATCCTCAATCGCTTTAGGCCTCTATAGAGAGACCCTCAAGAATCATTTCAGGGTCAGGTGGCTTGAAAAAGTTGCTTTATTGGTTGGTAAATCCTGCCCTGGAAAGACGTTGGTTACAAAGAAATGCTGATTGGCATGATGCATTTCTAAATAAGTGTGCACTAAGTGTTGGTTCTTCAGGTGTAAATCCACTGAAGTTCCAGATGTTGCTGTGCTCTCTGATTGGACCCCCCTCTTCTGGGAGGGGAGAAGGCATAATCCTCTGCTTCCCTCCTAGTTTCTCTTATTGAGTCCCCCTCCCCCCTTTCACCCCCCCTCCCCTCCCAGGCTGCCGGAGAGTCAACATCACTTTAAAGTAGTGAGACATGTCCTTTTGAGGACCTGGTGCCTCACATCGTTTCCCCATTATTTTCCACTTAGGCCACCTCGATGCCCAGCTTGGGTGTGTGTTTGTGAGTGTGCACATACATGTGTGTACCCCTGTGTTGAGGAGGATGGGGTCTGTCTTCCTAGTCATGCGGACACTAATTTGTCCTCATGTGGGCTTTTCCGCTGGGCTTAAAGAATGCTCAGGAATCACTACTTTTATGATGCAATTAGGGAAACGGAAGTGACCCAGCTGCCTGTCTGCTCCAGATCCAGGAGGAATCTCATTACCGTCACTCCTGCAACAACAAATCGCCTCAGTAATGAAGCACACGATGTGCCACAGCTGTGCTCAGAGAAGTTGCTTGGGGAAAGGGGAAGCGACAGTGGTGATGTGCGAGGCATCACCTGCCCAACCACGGGGCATCGTCTGTCCGTCAGCATCTGGAGATGGGCTTCCAGGTTCTTGAAAAGTTTAGCCTGGGGCATTGCTGGTGTCTGAACTAGCAGGGAACAGCGCTGCCTGCACATACACTCACTGTAGAAAAACAAAACCAGCAGGCAGAGAAGTTCCCTTCCTGAGACGTGAATAGGGCACATATGCTTTTTGGGGCCCAAGAGGGGTCTTTCTTAGGGGGCTGACTATAGGCATAGGGAGTTCAGTGACGCCGTGGCGCCCTTCTCCAGGCTGACCACCTGTCGTATTGGTACATGGACGCTGCGAGAGAGGCTGCCTGCACAAAAAAAGAACTGCGGCCTCTGGGAGGCCAGGAGGGCAGCTCTCCCACGCTGTTTGCGGGAGATTCTATTAAGAGCAAATAACCATGACAAGATGGAATAAAACAGAAACCCTTGCCAGTAAGAGCCAGTGGTGGGAGCACGGAAGCCAGGTGGCGGGAGGGGCCTCTGGGGTCCTGTCTCCATTGTCGGGGACTGACTGTGGGTCTTCTCAAGCTGTTTCGGCAGAATCTCTGACTTCTTTTCTTTCTTGTTGGTGCATCCGGACAGAGAGAGCGGCTGAGGAATATCGAGCGCATCTGCTTCCTCCTGCGCAAGGTCAGTGCACAGGCTCCATGCCAGAGGTGACCATCCCCGGGGCACGGGCGCTCTCAGGGCCACTCCTGTCCTGTCGACTGGGAAGGCAAATGGTGGTGGGGGAGGGGAACTTTTCTATCAGTTCTTTGGAAACCTGTGGAGACAAGAGAAGCTAATTAAAAGGGGTTGCCATCTATCAAAGTGTCACCACGGCACAGGGTATTTGCAAGTGCCCTCTGGTTGAATTTAGAGGTCCTTTATCTTTCCGTGATGATGGATGGCATTTACAGTCCAGATTGCCTCCCAGCCTTTGTTTCTGTCCAGTGCTGGCCTTAGCCATGCTTCTGCCCCAATTAGGAAGTTTTAACTGGAGGCTGGGTTTCCTTTGAGGCTTGCAGCCTGCCACTCCACTTTGCAATTTGATTGGCAGTGTAATTGGGAATGTCAGAGGGTGGGGAGGGGAGGAATTATTAAAGGGGGAACCAGGCATTCAGAGAGTTGGCTCTGAATGGATGGACGGCAGGTCACAGCTGCTCTAAACGTACTCAGGCAGCACATGTATGCACGCATATTTATGCGTGCACGTGCAGTTTCAGCTTGGTGTTCAGCACATCATAGAGACCAGTCTGTCACTCTCCAGGCCTGGAAGTGTGTGCTTTCTGTAGCAATTGTGGAGAACAGCAACCTGCAGGTTAAGCCAGCAGTATCCATAGTCTTGTGCCAATGGACAGCTCTGGCCTCAGGACAGCAGATGGATACAGGCCATGCAAAAGCCACCTGTCGTACCCCTAGGAGTTTTTTGAGCATTATGTGAATAGCAGAGAAGCCGAATGCCAGGACAGCATGGATAGATAGAAAGCACTTTTGTAAGTTTTGAATTTTAAACAAATTTTCAGTAGTGATACATCTCATCAGGAGGGAGCTTAATCAAGAAGTCAGTTATTTTTCTAGTTAATTACTTGTCCTTTCATGTTTTCCAAGAAACCCAGTACTAGAATTCCTCATCTTATATATATATCACCGCAGGGAAATGTGCTCAGATAAAGAAAATACTAGTAACCAAGGAGTAAAGCATGTTTAATAACACAAAACACTTGGCATTAAAGGATAATTCATGAATTTGTAAATTATTTTCCGAGATAATATTTGGATACCAGTGACCTGCTCTTATAACTCCATAGTCTTTGGCTTGTTCTTTAAGACTGACACCCAGGTGGGACAGATCAAGACTAAATCATAGCTTCATCTTTCACCTCCAGGTTACCCCTTTCCTCTTTGTAATGAAAGCACCAGCCTGAATTCTGTGTCACTTTCTGTGCTAATCTGCTTTCTTGCTTGACCATGGCCTCTGACCAGACAGTTGGAAATAACCTGTGGCCACCTCTGCTAAGATTTCCCTGCACATCACCATGGATTTTTCAAAGGTCAAAACAAAGGATATGAAAATCTGTAGACTGCAAGGATTTGTATCATCTCTTGCAAATTTGCATATAGTTTGCATTACGTTTCTATAAACAGTAGACTGAGGCATTTTACTCCAAGAAATAGTATATGCCTAGAACCTTTTTTTGTTTTTTGCCCTTTCATTTACCATCCTCCTTTTCCCCACGCTACTGCCTCTGCTGCTTCTGTGAAGAAAAACACAATTGCTATTCATTGGTGTAGGAAATCCAGGGAGAAAAGTGCAAGGTAGCCTCAGAGGACATGAAACACGGTCATCAGGACTGCAGGAGCTATAACTGGCCTGATCACATGTTCTGTGGCCCGATGGTTCTCTGTCTTCCATAGGGTCCTTCACTGGGGTGACAAACTCTCCTTGATTGACTTGAGGTAGAAACAAGCCACCTGCCTGAAGCTTTCGCTCCTCACCTGCTCCAGAACCCTTGTGAACACATCTTATTTTTTTTTATTTTATAATATAATAGTTTATTTTTACATCATTTTGTACATTATTTTTTTCATCTCAATTGTAATCCCTGTGGACATCTTACTTCACTTTTGGTTCTTCATCTCTGTGTCTGTGCCCTGGACACCGAGGTTGTTTGCATTAACGTCGACATGATTTCTTTCTGAATGTAATTTCAAATTGTTGGCTTTTCTGATTGTTTTCTGATTGTATTTTTTTAGCTTAATTTGGTTAACTTTATTCTCACAGACATATTTAGGTATGGGCATATGGATTTCTTCTCCCACTAGAATGTAAGTTCTGGAAGGACAGTATCTTTGCTCTGTTCATGTCACAGAGTGTAGCCTATTGAAGATGATCAACAAAGATTTTTTAGGAATTTAATAAATGAGGGTTAATTTTCTGACACTTGTATAATCTAAGCCCTTCTTGTCAGAAGCATTGAGCTCATCAGTAATCTTTTCATTTCTTCTTTTCAGTAATGTCTGTCTTATGTCACAAAGCATGTCTTTCACTACGTGGATGACTTACTTCAGATTTATATTTTAAAATCAAAATTTAACTCTGTGTTGTTTTCAGCATTGACTCAGAAGACCTCTAACCTTTTATCCTATCCCATCCCTTTCCTTGCGTCTATGCCCTCTAACATATTTGTAGTCTGTATTGTAAGCTTTTTTATATCTTCTCTCAGCCTATTCTGGTCAATGTGTTTTAAGGTACCCAAGGGCCCCCAAACCTGTCTATCTAAATGGGTTCTGCCACTTGCTTCATCAAAACAAAACATACTTTAGTGCGTAAAACCTAAAGAAGTTCAATACTACTAGTGTGCAATGGAGAGAAGAGAAAGACAAAGAATGTAGTTTCCAAATCAGGCATCCAAAATTACCCATCTCCTCATAGGCAAATGCCCATCAAACAGGGTTGACCCGAAGCAGAGTAGCTAAGGCCCAAAAGCTTGCCACAAGTTGAAGGCACCTTGTGATGGGGACCCACACAAAGGGGGCATAAGGGGTCAGGCAAGTCTGGCAGGAAAAGAGCCAAATCAAACTCAAGAAAAGGCTGCCATTGTCTCATCGTCTCTCATCCACATCTGTTTCTTTCAAGCATCTCCTTCCATGTTCTCCAAGTCTCTGATACAAGCCCAAGGCTGAGAAGCAGGAGTGGCCTCTTCTTCACATGTCTTTCTGCTCCATGTGCCTCCTCCAATCTTCTTCCTCCTTCTCTCTCGCCTTTCTCTCTCTTTGCTTCTTACCACCATCCTTTTTCCTTTGCTTCCATGCCCAGCTTCATCCTTCCTTAGGGTGGGGCCAGGAGTTTAAACTGTTACACTTCCATGAGAAGGCAGCACAGGGTGGTAGTCAATGATGCAGGTGTCTGCCCAGATTCCCTTGCTCTCACAGTGACTTCACACTGGGGGTAGTAATAATAGCACCTTCCTCATCCAGTTGTTGTGAGAATTCAATGAGATAATACATGTGCATCTAGCTCATAGATGCTCTGCATGTGTTGAGTGTTATTAGAGCTCCTCCCTAAACTTAACATCCCCAGGCACACACTTGGGGGAGCAGGCTGAAGTTCACCCCTGGCTGGTGGCCGTCCACCATTTTCTAAGCTAAATGTTGATGGTTAAATAGTGTCACCAGGCTGGCTGACCTGGTCACCTCCTTCCTGTCTCTTTTCGTGGGCTTCTGTGCTCAGGTTCCCAAGCTGTGAGTGCATGTTGGGGATGGTAGAGAGAGCTCATGGGGGCTAGTTAGCATTGCCGCCACCTTCTGGAAACTGTACCTTCCAAGAAATTTCTTGGAACTCATCTCCTAAACACTCCAGAATGTGATGCATCTCAGCAGCTGATTGTTGTTAAACCACCTCCTCAGCTTTCTCAGGAGAAAGGAAGGGATTTTCAAAGTAGAACCATTTTTAGCTCTGTAATTATCAGAAAATGTGTTCTTTGGGTAATTGTTTGAACTGCAGGATTCTTGTGTCGACTTTGCTTACGATTCATCCTTGTGGCAAGAGCCACTTGCTTCTCACTCTGCCCCCAAGCATGCTGTCGGCTCCGCAGGTCACTATAAAGTGAGGGTTGGGAGAGGGAGCATCATGGATGGCAGAGGGTGGTTTGAGGCGGCTTTCAGGCACATGTGGGGAGGACTGCAGGCCTTCTATTGCATCTCCAAGTTCAGCGAACTCAAGTGAGAGCCCGAGGTTGGTATAAGAAAAATGAAACCTTAATTTCAGTTTACTCCAGGAAAAGCAACTGTCATCAACTGGGGGTATGGTTGTCCTGAGGTGTTATGAAACGTTCACCTCACTCGCATTCCAGTGAGACGCTAACTAGAATGTCTGAGCTGGTTTCGAGTTTGACTGCCTGACAGGGGGCACTTGGTTTCACAGTTTGGGTGGCACTTCTGCTTGACAATTCCGTAATCCTCCAATTCATTCCTGGTTTTTCTAAGAATGTGTCCAGCCTTCCTGTAGGTTTTCTGACAGTTATGTGTGCGCAAAGCTCTAGTGGAAGCACCATTTTATTCTGTCTATGAGCAGCCACGTAAGATGTGGCAGAGGAGGGGAGATGAGTGTGCAGAGGTTGGGAGGTGGGGATCTTGGCTTCACTGGGAAGGAATAACCAGGCTGGTTGGAGGGGCAGATGGCTCAGGCTTAACTCTGGAACGAACATGGCGATGATAGGGCCACAAGTGTGGCAATTTTGAGCACCCATGCCCCTCCCCTCTTGTACTGCCCATGCTTCGCACCTCTGTCGTAGGCGACGTGTCGTGATGTGAAATAAAGCTGATGTGGGGAGGCCTAAATCCATTGCGGAAAGTCCAGAGTGTGGTTCTGAAAGCTGGGGTTAGAAGAGATGGGGACTGGAAATGAGGGAGTCAGTTAAGTGCAATGACTGTATTATTTCCATTTCTTTGCCCTTCCCTGTATCTACAACTGGCCATATGCTGGGCCCAGTGAAAATGAAAATGTGGTCATCTCTGCCAAAAAATTATTAAGAATTTTATGACACAGATGTCAGAGGGTTCAAAAAAGGTGGGGCCTGGTGGATCATGGGGGTCTGTGCAACTACGTTGGCCCTGCCCGCGTGCCCTATAATTTTGCAGTTCCTCCT